ATATATATATATATATATATATATATATATATATATATATATATATATAGTCAGTTGAGTTATCCGGTTCTAATTGTTCTATAACTTTCCATTCAACTACAATACGTTTTTCAAGTTATACGATTAATGACGCATAACCAAACAATAGTTAAGGAAGATATAACCGAAAGTTCATGAATTGTACTTCGGCGATGAACCGAACCCCAGAGACCGTCCAGGGATTTCTTGTTAAGAACATGGTTGATAGAAACCCACCAACAAGCATCGATTAACAAGAAGAGACGATCTCGAGTAGTTTTGTCTGTGAGAACTACTGCGTGTGAAGTTTTCAAGTTTGACGGTGGTAATATCGAGGCAGTGCTATATTGACGCATGATGAGGTATAATTATGAACTGAATGAACACATTGAATGTAAAGTTTATGGAATTATGCAATGGCGCAATACCTCATGTACATATCAGAAACTTCCCAAGGCATTTCATAGAGGGAAATTGCATCAAACATAAGATGACCTTAAAATTGGATGCATAGAAATAGTCTAAACCAAGGAATGCACGTCATCAGGACGTGTCAAGAAACTTTATGTTCCATGCTTGAAGGTCTGAACGCGATATTCTTGCGCGAAGCGTGGCCCCGAGGCAATAATGTTGAATAAATGACAAGAAAGCGTTGAAATTTGAATTTCTGCGATTATTTGAGGAAGGGGCATTCTCTCTCTTGACAGCAATCGAAAAGGACGGCACTAATTTTACAGACTTAGGATGCGTAACATTTTGATGTTAGGAAACGGGAAATTAACGTTACTGGTGTGATTTGTTTATGTATACTAAATAGTTTGTAATTTGAGGGTATAACTCTAAGTTTATGTTGTAAATTGTGGTTTTGGATATTCATGAAAAATAGGCATCGTACATGGTAATTTAGTGTAGAATAGTTTCGAAACTGGACATTATAAATTGTTTTAAGTTACGTAAAATTACAGGCAGTCTCGAGTAGACGCTTCATCCGATGTGCAGGAAGGGAAAGTCGCGTTCGCAGACTGCATTAACTGAGTACATCGGATTATAGAATATTATTATCAAGCAACTAGAATTTTCGGGGAACATTAAAAAAATTCTCCCGCTTCCAAAATTTACGATAGCAGGAGCACCTCGAGGACATCCTACCGACTGCATTCGGACAGAAAACATCTATAAAACTAGCGTAGAACATATTTCCGTAAACTTACGAATATTTATACAAGATATAATATACAGAATTTGTGAATGTACGAAGTAAAGATAATTCAAATCATTAATGAGCTCGAAGACTCAGATATGTAAATTTGTAGAATAAATGTTTATTTTTATTATCAAACTAATTATAAAGGCTGATAATTTGTAGAAGTTGCTATCAGAGTTTTAATAACAGGTTGATACAGCAGCACTTTCAGGAATTTAGGCTCTGTACAGAATGGCAAGAACATATATAATAGCAAAATAAGGTAAAGTATTATGATTCGAACTCAATCTAATGTGTGAAATAGAAAAACTGACGTATCAAGCGTTTCGTACGTGTAGTGCTAATTGCCGTGTTTAAAATGACATAAAATTAATGTTGCTTAATTCTTTTGTTGTTGTTTTACGTAAGGACTACGTACGCCTTTAATATGCACATTACCAGCAATTTGTATACATGAATACAATTGTGAGTGAAAGTGCTTCAAATAACATGAAATGAAGTTCGCATTTACACTAGAGATTAAACAATTGTTTTCTAAAAAAGGGATCTAGATTTTTAAACAAAAATTTCCATATTTGGCAGGTTTTGGAATTCCTTATTATTCTAAATGTAATATTTTGAATCTGCCAAAAGGAAACCGAAAATTTGAGAAATTTTAGAAAAATATATTTTGGGCGGCGATAGACGTCAGCTGGCAAGAGGATGGAGCAAACCGTAAAGACAGCCCAGACGAAGTAAATTAGAAAAACAAGTAGTACGAGAACGTCTGCGACATTCTGTAGTTCTCTTATAATAAAACTCATTATTGGTATTATCAAAGAAATTTCTCAATCTAGGGGATACTTACGTTTGTAGAAGGCACTAATTTGTTTCTTGAGACCGAAGGATACTCATTGGCGACGCACAATTCCAAAAATTTGTCATAAAAGCCCTTCTCGTCGAGCCAATACTCGCCATCGCTGCAAGGGCACTGTAACAGCTCGTCGAGGATGGCGGAAGGAAGATCCCTGAGGACGTCCTCTCTGAAAAACGCATTGAAGATACCCATCTTTGCTGTGAACGTTCATCATAAATAAATTTCAACCAGTGACAATGAATTATATATCCGAATACCTTACTGGTGAAGATTGTAAAAAATACTGCCAACCGTTTATAACTTGTGATGTTGAATATACAGTGTGCCAGGAAAGGGACTTTATATCAATTAAACACCTTTATCCAAGTGTTACGTTCAACACTTTTTCGTTTCTAGTAAAAAATAATTTTAATTTTGAGAAATTCAATGATACATTTCCCGTGTATTTGATGAGGTATGTATCTGGTGGCGTCATATTATTTTTTAACAAGACATTTTGGTAGGCCTTCCACAATATATTTATGATCACCATAATGTCTCAGAGTGTAATGCTTGAAATAAGAGGCATTTGAAAATGCAAAAATTTAACGTTTTCCGGTTGACCTATTAAAAGCTGACAAAGCCATGAGAAATATTGCTTCGTACGAAAAGTAAGGGCCTGTATGAGAGAACAACACGTGTTAATATTGGAAAGGAGAAAGACGACTCAGTTCTGACCTTTAAGAGTGGGTAAATACAACTGACGATTACATGTTTGATCTTTGTAATATGCGAAAACCAAATGTTTTACAAGTAACACATATTTTTTGTTTTATATTTTATGTGTTTCGTTACTTATCTTGTGTCAAATAAACAACCTTAAAGTCGCACGTATGTTGGAGACTTTAGTTGGTAAGGAAAATATCTATATTTTAAATTACAGACAATTAACTAGATTTTGTAAAAAAAATAAAGGAGTTTTTTCAAAACAATTGTACTCTGTGAGCCATCACGTTCAAATATGAGAAATAAACATGTCTGTGCAATATAAAGATTCTGGGTTAAGATGATACCTACCAGGCATGAGTAGGTGCAAATGAGATAATTTCGAATTTTGATTGGCTGTTGTAGACTTTTAATTGCATGATGAAGTTTTAATTGCACGCATGCTATAAATATAGTGATAATGAAACATTTTCTTGGAATTAATTAGCATATTTAGTTAGCGAAACGAAAAAATAACATTATAAACGAGTTGCATAGGTAATTTTGTTGTATAACAGCATTATAAAGGATAGCCGAATAAGGCTGTGAAAAAAAATCGAAATTAAATTTACATGAGATAATATTGGAGTACTGTCTCAATTTTTTCTCCTAGAATGTGTCTTCTAACATTATTAATTTTTTTCATAGTTTTCACAATGTCGATAAAAGTGAAAAAAATAAAAACAAATTTTCAATTATTTAAGGTCGCATCGCCCTAGAGGTCATTAGGGACCACATGGAATTTAACGGTATAGTAACTGTGAAGATGACATGGTACGGTAGTAGTAGGGTGTGATAGGCCGAACCCAAATACAACCATGACCGAAGCGGGACTCGTACCGCAATCCTTCGGTGCGAGATGGCTACGGCACTACTGCCTTAACGATCTCGGCCAACCGAACCGGTTAAAACCAATTTTATTAGTTTAAATATTGGAAATTCGCGCCGAAATGTGATTGGATAAACGTTTTTATGAATATTTAAACGCAGAATCAATCATGACATACGAACTTGAAATGTTATAAGTATTACATCGATTTTGTACGTAACTCAATCGGAATATCCATAGTAGAAAGAGATAGGTGGGCTCTTTCGCACCTGACGTAAATCAGTGAGCTTCAGTTTGTATCATAATATTACCGGGAATTGTTAGTGCCAAAATTGTCACAGTAACAAGTCATTGAAACAGAAAAATATAAACACTTTTTTAAATATTGCATTTTTCAATTACACCTTCATCGTGTTATTTTTAATTGACCACCGTTGAAAATTGTCATTTTATGTCACTTTCAAAATGTTTCTCAACACTACTCGCTCAATATGCAACATGGCAGCCAACGTCTGGTCTCGCTTTTCAACCGAAGTGCCCGTGATGTGGACATGTAGTTCGTGACACAAACTGGTGCGGCCCAGAACGAGCAAAAATCGATGTACCGAAGGAGCCCACCCATCACTTTCCATCACGGGAATATCGGGTGTGAAGCGATATTGTTGTAAACATGCAAAAGAATGACGCACCCGGAGATGCTGCTCCCACATAGCTAGGAACATTTATCGCTTCGCACAAGCTCGTTACTGGGCGAAAATTGTTAAACCGTCAGAAATTTTGAGTGGACGGTTTCTAAACAAAAGCGTATTCCCAGTTATAGAAGAAGATAATGACTAGGAGTGTGAAATGTTCAATGATTAATAAATATACAATTGAGTAGTTTGATTTATAAAATAAACATGAAAGATTAATACAAACTGCATTCAAAAAGTTCCCAGAAATTATTAATAACTCAGAAATCGTCGCCCCATCAGAAGAGTTTCATGCGTGGAAAGGTGAAAAAGTCTGTTGGTGACAGATCAGTAATCCCATGCAGTAACATTCTGCCTGGCAAAATATTGTTTTACCAATATTGATCGCTATGATGGTGCGTTATCTTGCAAAAGAAACCAGGAGTTTTCTAGCTCCCTTTTGGGGACGTTTTCTTCCCATTGCGTTCCTTGAAGTGACGAGTTTTTTTGTTGCGGTACAATTTTGTGCAATAAATTCATAGTGGATGAGACCCTTTTCGTCATAGAAAATTTCCAGCATAACTTTACCTCTGCTAATGTCTTTAGAAAATTTTGGATTTTTACTCGCATGACTGTCGTTTAGGCATCGGGTCATACAAATAGCACCAAATTTCATATACAGCAAATATGTTGTTCAAAAAATATTTTTTATAAGCAAAACCTATCAGATCTCCATCACGAATCATTCTTGTTTATTTGTTTTCAAGATACAACATTTTTGGAACCATCTTTTGCATGTTGTATTGCATGGATTGCATGTTCAAATGTTTGTGAAGAATTCTCTGAACACTTCCAACTGAAATTCGGACCTCTGTCGGTATCGCCTAAACACACTTTCTTCGGTCACTCCTCACAACAATGTGGACTTGCTCAATCTTTTCTTCATTTGTCGCAGTTGTTGGTGTGCCGCTGCGCGGGTCGTCTTTCACACTATCGCGACCTCCACTGAAGCATTTATGCCATAAATATACCTGATTTTTTTCATAGCTGCATGACCATACGCTTCTTTCGAGCATTACTAACGACTCTGACGGAGATAACTAAAACGTTATGTTAGAGCGTTGTTCTGTTGTCGACATTATTACATACGTTGTGAAGTGACGTCATGAACATTACGAACATCTAATAAAATATAGTTGCCTGTCGAATTAAATACGTATTAAATAAATAATTAAATATTTCCGAAAGTTTTTGAATCTTGTAGTATACATAAACCCGACTAATTTTATTGATATTAAAACAATTCAAAAATCTAAAAATAAAAGGGTTTGATGATTTTATTTCGATAATATAAATACTTTCCAAATTAAAACAAATATTTGTCAGCAAAAAGTTGTAAATCATGCTGGTAAGTGAGACTCTTCAATAATTAAAAAAAATGTTAAACATAGAGCAACCATTTTTCCAATCACATTTTGGAGCGAATATCAAATTTTTGTTCTAATAAAATTGGTTAAATTTTTTCCACTATCGTCCACATTGATTAAAAATGTGGAAAATATAAATTATAGTGTTATAAGACACATTCTAGTAGAAAAAACGTAGGCAGTTCTCCAACGTTATCACATCTTAAATTAATTTTGAAAAAGATTTTGGATACGTTTTTCAGTAGTTATAGCACTTTGTTTCGCTTTGCAAATAAATAGCTAGGCCGCATCCCAGCTTGAAGCTATCGGCCTAGAGACTGGTCGACTCAATAGTTACATTAAACATTTCGAGCTTGGGTAAAGTCTCCACTCAATTTCCCGAAAATATATGGTGACACACCTGAGTCCGTACCCAGTTGAGACCGCCTGGACAATGTCCTCCCGCCGCCACACTGCACTCTCATTGGCATTAGTGACAGTGGGCGTGCCTATCCTCCACCGGAGCTCGAAGCAAGACCTTGGGAGCGAAGCTAGCACTCACGTGATGCGGAACTTGCCGGTGCAGTCCGTCTCCGTGCCCCAGGGGTTGCGGATGCGGAGGAGCTGCCTGCTGTCAGACAACTGCAGCACCTTGTTTACCGTGTAGCTGTGGTTCATGCTTTCATTTGCACTCTCTTCGCCATCACGTCTATTCTCGAGGGCCATTGTTGATATCCGGATTAGCTCTTTAGTCTTCAACAAACAACAGAGTAGGAGATTTAGACTTCAGTGCGCCTCACAAATAATTCTTATATTTACGGTCTACATGCTATATTTACATTAGCCATAACTTTTTCCCTAGGGCTTTTATCCAGACGATAGTCAGTTATACTTTGCGTCCCGATGGGACGTATTTGTGACCATACACTACGCACGAATACACTTGCGGACTCCTCTGATCTGGTATCAGCAGGATGCGCGGCCCTCCGCGACAACACATACATGAGACAAGGGAAAAACAGCCATGCCCAACGGGGGACTCCATTCCGTGAGATTTCGGATCGAAACGCTGAGTCCGCACACACTCTCAGCCAGCTAAGCTATCCAGGTCGACTAGCCATAACGTATTATTTCTAAAAATGTGTTGAATCCGAGGTGGATCGTGCACTGCTTAGAAATACTTCGATTTATGAGGAACATGACTCAGAATTCTTGTCCTTTGTTATGAGATGTATTTATTTGAGTCATGTTTTTTGAGAATATTGCTCAATTTCGTCTAAACACTATTGAGAATAAAGCTGATAATATATTAAAATACATCTGTTTTTCAAACAACTGCCCTGAAACACAGCTTTTTCGCCATGTCAAAATGTGTATACTTACTTTTCCGACTGCCGTAATTAAAGATTTTCGGGCCAACTCTTTCTGCAAAAACGTAAACAAATTTTCTGTGGGTTTAGTTTTAACCAATTTTATTTTGTTTACTGAATAACCTGTAAGGATCATTAACCCTACAGCTATTTGCCCTCCTTGTAGATTTTTGTATCCTCGATGGTATCTGCGGGAAACAATTATGATTATCATTATAAATACAACATTATTTTCATTCAATAATTTTATTTCTATTGCCAATTACATGTGTGTGGGATACTGGGGGTGGGGGATACTGGGGCTGGGTGAGACTTGGGATCCTACATAGCACAAGTAGTATAATAAGTCCTTATTGTTAAGGGTCTTTCACGACTTAACAAACTTCTCACAAAAGTGTGAGTATGATCAATTCAACGATTGTGAATCTATAATCTCAAATATGTATCACCGCATTTGTTTTAATAGGATTTAATTTTGTCAGAGAGCAGTAAAAGCCGAGAATACGTGTCCTTGGATTCCAGAATCTCATCTCCACCCTTTAAGCATAAATGGTTGAATGATGAATGAAAGTGGAGGATAAAGCTTAGAGAGAACTAATATTTTCGTACTACATTCATTGTCATCTGTATTATTGGAATGAAAATATTTTATTTCTCTCTCATTTTCAGTTGAAACTTTGAATCAATTAAGTTTTGTATATCATTTTTAGGGCGATTTTCTTATCACTTTTACGTCCATCTATAATGAAAAATCATATTCGGAGCTGGTTAATTCTTATCAATTGAGATTTATTAGTACAGTGCCAGTCATCCTCAAAATATACCTGCCAACCCTCTCCCCAAACACAAGTATTTTCCTGAAATGGCTAATTTTTAGTTTGTTCTATTTAATTTCCTAACCTCGATTTTATTTCAGTAAGAGCTACTTAAAATTGCAAAAAGTTGGTAGTGGTCAAATATTCGACTTCGTAATGGCTAATAGGTATTATTTTTCCTGAACGTGTCCGAGATCACAAAGTTCAAAACAATCAATGTTGTTGCATTATCGCAATGCCAATATTAATAAGATGTTTTCAGCTTGATCTTTAAGAAAACAAAAAAGGAAAATAATTTTCTTGGTTCTAATCGTCGCCACTATTAGGCATAGGCTCCTCTTACCACACGTTTGAAGTCAGTGGGAAGCCTTTATTTTTTAAGGTCGCTTTTTAACAACTTGGTCATATAACAACCAATTGTATCTGCAGGAAATAATTGATCTGTGAGAAATGCGATTGTTTTACTTGTAGGCGGTACTGTAAGATGAACACGTATGAACAACACGAACACACACTAACTTACTTGTCCGAGGTGGGATTCTAACCTTAATCTCTTTGGGCCGAAGTAGTTACGTCCCTTCATCTTTAGCGATTTTGGCTTTCAAGGGCGACCTTTTATTTCTTATTTTACAAAATTTGTTATTATTGCGGCCTTTGTCCTACTACATACACGTCTAATAAAATATAATTTTGTACCATTTTTGACATATTTTCAAAGGCAGTATTATCTCTTTTCAATGTAGTACCAACCTTTTTATGGCATTTTTGATCAGATGTTGTGCTATCGGCCCGTGCCTCGGCCCACACCACAGCATCGCAATGGGCTTACTGTGTGGGTTTTCACACTGCTTGTGAGATGAAACAAGCAGGCGGCACGTGTGACGCATACTATACATTTCTGGCAACAGCCGCAAAAATGCGCTTTCGCAGGGGATAGGATACACACGGAGGTTTCAATTACGATGAGGACTTGTATTTAGAAGTTATGAAAGTGGAGATTAACTATCAACCGGTTATTTTTTTGTTTTATAAATAATAACATTCATTTATATTTTTAAGATGCCACCAAATGTGGCATGAACCTACAACTTTGCTTTGCCCGTCTGCGTGAAATTTGAAAGCGTGTAATTTGAACATTTCAATGAGACTATCTATTCCAAAAAAGACAAAAATATTATATATTCAAAAAGGTCGAATACATTAAATCAAAATAACAACTGATTTTTAAAATGTTATATAGGAAACTACTATTTTCTTCTGTATTTAACAACGTGAAGGTGTTCTGCAAAGAGTGATTACTTTGCTCATGTCTCGTATGCATTCTTTTGTGTAAATAAAACATTGAAAATAACTCAATTTGGAATTTATTTACCATTACTCTACACTCTCGTGGAAGTAGTTTGCGAACCTATACCATGCTAGTGTCCAAGCTACCCCAAGGCCTTTGCCATCCAAGCCCACAAGTGAGCGTTGACAGGCGCAACTTCAAAAATTTAAACGAATCTAATGTTCAACAGTCAAACAATCATGAAAAAAAGTTCATCATAATGAAGCGAAATACATGTAGTTTCCGTTATTGCAATTCCACTTGTCGAAACTAAATCGCGTAAGAAAAATAGAAACTACCATCTGGTGTCTACTAACCTCGGTCTGCTCTTCTTTAAGAATGCATCATTTATTCCGAAAAGAATATTGAGTAATTTCTAGCTAACTAGTTGCCTTGAAAAATAATCTTGTTAACATTCTTCTTTTGAAAGTTGATTACTTACTTAGCAACGGCCTTTTCAACCAAAGGAAGCCAAAATTCAGAAGTCTCTTTGCAAGCACCAAACACCAGTTTTAAACCGTCTTTGGTATTCATAACTGGTAATCGATCATCGATTTTCATATCAAATCTAGAACCACTCGCCCAAAGACGAATTGTAACTTTGCCGGTGTACTTATTTTCCGAACCGCCAGGTTTCAGTTGTAATCCATCGGGTATCAGCTGCAAAAATTCCAAAAACAGTGATTTGGATGAAGTACGCTGAAGCAAAAAAAACGAATTGTTAGGATTTTGATGAATTACTGCATAAACATACACACCTAAATCATTCCATAATTGGATTAAAATTAGAAATAACAATTACACTCATGAATGTGTTTAGTAGATATTTTATAAAAAAATACTGTGACGGCCCGCTTCGTTGGGATCAGCGAATTCAATAAAAACCTGACCAATCGTTAGAGAGTCGTAGGTGTTGTATTCAGTTATCTTTGGGTAAACTGTTCGTACCTACTTTTTTCTTGTAATTAGTGAACCATTAGGGATGTCATTTACACTTTTTATGAGTATTTGCGGTTAATTATCTGGGCAACTGAGCACTCGTTGGGGAGGTTTAATCCAAAAATATCCGAGTTTTGAGTATGTCATCCTCTTTGCAATCTATTTTCTAAGATTAGTCTCCGACCTTTAAAGTTATTTCAAATCCGACTTGTGTGGTAGTATAGAACATGTAAGTGTGTGTAAGGCGAGAGGATAGAACAAGAAAGTGCAAGGAAAGATAGCGCGCGGCCACGGTCCATGGCCTGTTAGTTAGGGTACTGATCCACCATTCGCCTGGTATTAATCAGAGAAACTGTAGAAAATCATCAGAGAATTTGGCCTCTAGAAGTTTTTTTCAGACAGCGTTTGAATTCGACCTATGTATCGTCGAAAACCCGTCTCCGCCGGGACTCGAAACGTCGGACCTCCCGGACAGAGTGGCTGCAGAGTCAGCGACCATGCTGGCTCTGAGCTACATTGAACCGGTAGGAGAAACGAACGTGGTACCTCTCTGACGAGGTGTGGGTGTTCGGCCAGCGCCGAGCACGCAGCGATGAGCCAGCAGTCGCCCAGGTTCGGCCCCTGCAGCACGTCCAGACGACTGGCGCCGTCCACGAACACCTGCGGATCTTCGCACAGCTCCTGCGGGCCAACACATGCACTTCGTTTATGGCGTAGGGGATTCGTTTGGCACCACATGCGGGGTAGGGGAAGCACGATTGGGCCAGAAGGAACCCTCCGGGTTGCTCCTTGTTCTACTTATTAGTCCAGTCAAAATATATATGACAAGGAAAAATTTCGGACGTTTGTTCTCATCGTTTGTGGATATTTTCAGAGCGATAAATTCAAATTTAATGTTTAACCTAAAAAAACATTGTGTTCTAGAGAATATTGCAAAAGAAAAAAACACCTAAAATGTTCGCAGTGATTTTTGTTACTCGCTTATACATTCAAAACTATGAGTTTTATCCAAATAATTCTTATTTACAAATTTAAAGTAGATACGTTTTTTGTACATCACACATATTCATTTTAATTTTCTGAAAAATGTTTTAGGTACTAGAGAGTGCCTAAAAACAGTTTCTTTTTGGGCCTCTGGCCAAAGCGAGGGAATAGCTCTTTGCAGCCGTAGACACCGGCCGGCGGTCTAGTTTTACTTTATCATGCTTGAAAACAGCAATTGTGAACAAGTAATTGGCATTGTTAAATTATTAACGCTTTTGTACTCACGGAATCATTAAGATCGTATATTCTCGTGTGGAGTATCTTTACATCGTAGATGTCCCAAATAAAAGAGATGTTAGAAAATTATTACATTCCGACAAAATGGTTTGAGCAATACAAAATAATCATTAAAAAATTCTACTAACAGTATGTTTTGTCAATATGTGCCAAATTATGAAAATAAGTAAGATTAATACTAAGGAGGAATTTTGAGATATTAACAAAAATGTTGAACCAGATATTTTTATAGGTTTTGGAAATTGCCCACAAGCGTGAAGGCCAGCCACGAATGGAACGGATTCCGGAACTGGCGCTTCAGTGCGCGTGCGTTACGCATTCAGATTAGGTGTAGTTTTTTATTGGATTGTCAGGCGTTCTTTGTCTATCGCAATGATAACACTCGAAAAATAATTTTCAAGTATGATCCTTGTAAATTTTGTGACAGTAAAATTATTATTATTATTATTATTATTATTATTATTATTATTATTATTATTATTATTATTATTATATTTAACAACTGTAAGAAGTCTTTTGATAATTGTTACACCTTAATTTATTAATTATTGTTATTTCCTTATTTAAAATGTAGCGAAAACGTCAAACCCGTATATGCCGAAGTATATTTTTTCACGATTTGACTGTGATTACAGTAGATTTTGAACCGCAAGGCTTCTGCACAATTGTTTGGTTATTGAAATCCATAAAAATATTAACTTGAGTATTTCTGCAGGCGTATGTAGGCCTATGCGCGCGCGGGAAATATTTTTTGGCACACTCATTTGAATGATTCTGTAAGGACAGTAGTCACTATTTCCATTTTTATTTTATGTTCCGAAATTGAGACGTATGTTAATTTGATCACTAAATTGCATAAGTATTGTTAATATTAAGTTGTTTAAGGTTGAATTTTAGGAAAACACAAACTGATTTTCGGAACTTCGCGTAAGCCACAAAAATTATTTTAAGGCATTTCTTGTAAAACATGATACACTGCATCATTCGAAGTGTCCCTGTGTGACAAAATATCCTCAAATGGAAAAGGGGACCCTTAAATGCAGTACCCCTCTCTCGTTTTAGTTGGCGCTCGCCCATGAGTTCAGGAGACTTCTTCTGCTATAGTTTAGTCCTGCAAATGCTTTCTTTTCGAGGGTTCAATCACCCGTTGGCACCGTATCGCGGTATGGGTTTTTTTTGAAAATCTGTGAAGTCCTCGCTTCCCATCGCAGGGGGGGGGGCGGCGTACCCGAACTGTGACTTGTAACTAAGGGAGCTAACCTCCGAAGCGAATCCCACCGGCAAGAGTTTCATCCTTTCTTTTAATGAGGCTGTTATCGTAGAGCGAAGATTTAGCTAATCTACTGGTAGAAATTAAAATGTACTAGAATCTCAGACAACAGTTCTTGATTCAATTTTTCTTGTGAGCAATCAGTTTATTTTATTATTAAATTAAATGTTGCCTTTTTAAATTCTAACATTGCCTGTTGAAAGTTAAGCTGTCACAACAGTTCTGGAAAGGAAATGCGGTTGCCTCTATTTTATTTGTGGTTTACCGGCAGACCTTACGTAACAACCTGTTTGTTACGTTTACAGACTTTGTACATTGTCTAAGTTATCGTGTTTCCTTATTCTTACTTATAACGTAAATGAAATTGAATCATTTAATATTCCTTAAGATGTTGCTAATGAGAAATATGCGCTTGAAGATCCAAGTAGATTGGAATTCTTCAAATTTTTGGCAGTTACGAATATGGGTATAACTTGCAGTGTCTGAAAAACTACAGAAATTTGCTTCCCATTTGAATTATTGTCTATTTACTTTGTATTTTCTGTTTATTATGGTAGATCTTGAATTATGAAAGTTATTACCATAGAGACGGAATATATTATCTAGAATTTAAACGGGAAAATAAAAAGTTGGTTACTGAATATTTTCAAACGTTGTGATTTAATAAACTATAGAGGCAATGGGATTAAACCCATATCTGAGAATAAAAAATTAGCTGACGAAAGGGCTTTCACACCTTTAGTTTGAAACGCGTATTCTAAAATTAAAGTTTGTACTGCAAAGGGATATGTTGAAATATTTAACTGAGATACAGATGTTTTTCAACAAATTGTCTGAAAAGGCAGACAAGAAATAATTCGTACTTTTAGTGAAATTGAATAAGTCCATTAAAGAAATTCAGACCGCAAACAAATTACAAACATATATTCAATTATTTCGTTAACAAAAGCCTAATATTTTAAAACGAAGTTATGCACTTTTGAAGTAGTTTATTCCAAACTGTGCAATTGCCGACAAAGCCTAAAAATATTTAAAAAGACAATCATATATGCACTCGCGAAGGTTTACCGCATTGAATACTATTTCTAATTAAAATATTTTATTCTATTAGTATTTTGCAAACTTTGCGGATTTTTTCACAATCTTAAAATTATATAATCAACATATTAATACGTATCACACACGTATACCATGAAAAATTAGGATAGTGTAAATGAAAAATCCATAATAAAAAACTGCGTGAAATATTAAAAATCAAATTCATTATAGGGATATACTTACAATATGTAGGTACATTCACGTACTTGTTGTAAAGTTGTTCGTTGTTTGTTGTACGATTTTCTAAGGAAAATTTCTCGTATCAGATCGCAGTGTTCGTGTTCGAATTTTGAAATTTTGATCTCTTATGCTTAAATAAGTTGATTTGACTAGTCTGCTCAGAATTTCCATAAGTCTTACATAAAGCGCAAAGTTTAAACATCTTTCCAGATTTAAAAGTGGGTTTAATTCGTCAGCGAGTCAGATACTAGAGAATTTAGTGGCGCTTTCCTTAATTTGGTCAAGAATTCTGGTCGTTTAGTCGACCTAGTCGGAAGGGATCCTAACATGCGGCCCCAAAAAATAGGGCGATTTGGAAAAGTGCACAGACGCCGGCGTTCTAATGTTACTATTAATCTTCTTCAAAGTTCGCATTTCAAACGAAGGACTCGTTTTGTTCATGGTGTAATGTCTTAAAAAGGAGTCGTTGGTTAGGATAATATCAACGTCCTTGCAGATTGTGACAATAGAATTTGAATAACTTTTTAATTTGTAGTCATTTTTACATAAGATGAAGAAAAAATGTACTTTTTCGACATCACTTAATTTACTTTAATGCCATTCATATGTGTCCATTTTTCTATGTGAGCTAGGTTCTTTTGCAAGGTTTCGACATATTTTCTCCAACTTCGCTGTAAATTACATATAGCTATCCGCAAAAAGTTGCTTAGTAGATTCCATGTCCTCGTAAATGTCATTTACATAACAAGCGAGTCCCTAGTACACTTGCTTATGGAACGTCCCATGTTACATCCGATTTTGATGAGTGTTTGCCATTAAATATAATTTTCTGCAGGCGCGTATTATGGTTCTTCTAGGCCGAGGAAAACTATATTATACGCGCTTAATGCAGCACGTTTGGGAGAAGTATACCTTTGGAAAGTAACCGAACGCTTTTAAAATATCTATTGTTAAAGCGCGAATTTATTCACCAGTATGTAAACGTCTGCTACGAAATATGTACAGTTGTGACTTGACTTTCTCAAGAATAACGAAAACCATGTTGACGCTAAAAACGCCATCCCGATTAATTTAAGAGAATCCGTAAGTATTCTGCCATTAAGTGATACATTTGTATACATACGGGGGATGTTCATTTCACAGAGCTGTAGTTTGTAACACTTGCACGGTCTCCTCCCTTCTAGATCTGTAGTACCAAAGCTTCTTTCTAATCAGAAGGTATACTATTGTTGTATGAGGTGACGTCCATTATACGTGATAGGTACAGAATCAAGGTGTCGGAGCTTTAAAATAGCCGTGGTGATCCCGTCAGGATAACATATTAATTTTTCCCCTAATTTAACTACTCTTTTTCTTTCTTATAGTTTTCGGATTAAGAGTGAACATTTCTATATCATTACTGGACGAAATATTCCGTATGTTGTCATTTTCACTGAAAATGATGTTAATTATAGGATACAAAATGTTTGCAGTTTTCTGTGATCTGAAATAAAACATTATTATCTCGAATCGTGGGAAAGTCTTCCTTGTTTCCTGTTCCCCTTTTCAAATACATAATCCACCTCGTCAGTTTGCCGGCGTAGATGGACAGTGTAGACTGCAAATTGGGACAGTAGTAACGGCAATATAGCTACAAACACCCTAACGTTTTCTTTTCACTAATTATTTAGGAAAATCACTCATCAAAATAAAAGCTAACTCGGATTTTGTCTTCATTACGATTTTTACTTTTTGAGGACGTTATAACCTTTTATTTTAAACAATAAGTCAGTCTAATATTAATTTTGGAGATTTTATTGACTAATTTACTAGTAGATATCTTGACTCTTTGTTTTCATATTTCGTTCTCGTAATTACCTCCATACGATAACATGTAGTATCATTCAACGTTTTTCATATTTCCCCCCTCCACGATCCTCCCGATCCAGAGTATGCAGAGTACATCAAGCTCTGTATTTGAGGCAATAACAAGTAAAAGTGAAAAATATAAGTATTTGTCTGTTTAGGCAATCCCCAAGTGATAGGGAGCGCTGTACTCACGTGTGGTCGCCTCCAGAGCACGCCCTCGGGCACGTCGCCCGCCAGGGTGGGCTCCCCCACGGGGAAGTCCTCGTCCTTGAAGAACTCCTCGGCCTCGCGCGCAGCCACCCCGTCGTAGCGGGCCCTCCCCACGTACGCCGGCTCGCACCTGCACTCGTCCGTGCACGAGCACGAGCACGCGCGTGCGCACGCGTCCACAGCCGTGCTCATGGCGGTCGCGCGAGGGCTGCCCGTCTGTCGCCTGCCGCACGAGGGCGCTCGCTTTTGAGCCTTGCCCGCCCCACAGGTCGGCTCTGGGAGGGAGTACTTGTGACTTTGTTCACTCAAGGGAGGAAGTTCACAACGGCAAACCACTATCAAGGCTGTCGCTTGCGGCTCGGGTAAGGAAACGTAGATCCGTGTTCCAATAGCAGCACTTCCTGGTTGACTCACCAACTCTGTCTGAGAAGAGATCTTTTCGTTTACAACGTAAATAACCACTTTAAAACTTAAAATTTTTATTGAATAGGGAATAAAGTTTCATATGTATATATCCATCGGGGAACGTATCTCATAAAGGGTGTTCAAAGAGTTGTTTTTCTTGGCAGTTGAGCAAACGGGAAGAAGAATATACTGCATTGGCGGGTGTTTTTTTCTAAAAGTGAATTGTGGTATATCAATTGGTTAATATAAAAATTGACTATAAAACTAACCGCCGAGGCAGAGAAGGAAGGTGGAGTGGGGCGGACGCGCAGAGAGGGCGAGCAGAGTAGCCTTTTGTGCAGCTCTGTCGAATTGCGAATTGCGAATTCGTGAGGAGGCGACTGCGTGCCGACATATTTATGGCACCACCGCTGGCTACTATGTCGAACTCCGCACGTGCGTATCGCGAGCGCCCTGCGCAAAAAGCCTCCCCCTACAACTTCCAATTTTGACTCGAAAGACGGCAGGTGGATTACAATGATCGACACATGTAATCTGTAGGACAGCGATATCGAGTCCAGCACACCGAGCTTGATCGAGTGTCGTAAATACTTCGGGATACACGACAGAGGCAGAGAGACAATGGGATACGCGCACGTGTCCGCGACGGGGGAGCGCAATGCGCAGTACTGTGACATAATTTCTTCGGTCCAATCAAAAATCTGGTAAAATATAAGAAAATGAAAAGAAAAATACTATTGGAGCAGGAGGAGATGGGGAGACTTAATGGGTCTAAGAGGAAGGGATAGTATACGCTGATGGAGTCAGGCAGCGATGCAAATGGAGAGAAGAGATTGAAATATTAAGGAGAGTAGTCGCGAAAGGACAGAGGAGATTCGGAGGTTAACGAGAGTGGTCGCGGGCATATGAGTTTTGAACTTTACGAGAACGGTCATATAAGCCAGGAGAAAAACAGCGAAAGTGTTATGTTCGCACTGATATTAACATTGGCCATGATTTGAAGCATTCTATGGCAAAAAGTATTACTCTCGCGCAGTTGTGAGCTCATGGCGGTAACTCGAAGTGCTATTCAGTTAGTCAGCCGTCGAATGGAATCGCACACATCAGAACCGAGAGGCGAGCGTTCACCGGGACCGCCTTCATGATCGGCTGAGTAGAAAGGGATGCAGATGGTTTCAATACGCTGCGGTGCTTCAAAAATGAGAATGCGTAACGCAGACACACTAAGCTGTTGGGAGGTCAGCGCTCCCGGGTACCTGCGCCGTCAAGAGAGACAACAACGGTTGTTATGGTTTGTGACTAAAGACTTTATTACTTCATTCATCATAACGCACCTCCTATAGAAAAGTGGCACAGGTGCGAATTACTGATTTCTCAGTTTAGTCATGTGCGAAGGCTGCCGTCGATCAGGATATATTTCAGCATGCAGTAATGCACTTTTCTTAGCATTTCTGCCACATTCACCATACACCTGAATTAGGTCAAGGTTCTCCTCGTTCATATACATCTTCCCGGATATTTCTGCACTATATCACTGTGTTTACAAATTTCTGCTAAATCTGGAGAGTTCCCGTTTAGTTATGACTGCATTTCCTTTCTCCACAGCCCTTTTATTCTATATACCTTTCTTACGTCATTTCGAGGCATCTCCAGTTTTCCTACTTTATTCGGCCGATGCAACGGAAGGGAATGACCCCGCCGCATATCACCCGGAATTTCTCGTTCAGATTACGGAAACCAGCAGACGGCGTGCGTCTTTAAAACTCTTAATTTCTCGAAAATTTTGTTACGTCGCATATGGCGATATGGCTATTTATGAACTAGTCTCTTCACTCTTGTTATGACGAGCTATAATAATCTTTAGAGTTCCATTAAAAAAAGTGGAAATTGGGTCAATATTTCTGCAATATAATAATATTATGCATGACCATATGTGCCCCTTGCATATAGCAGTTTTAGTGAAAACCGCATCTCAGTATCTGCAACTGTTCAGGAGAATATTGAAGGGAAAATCTTAGGTGGAACACACGGTGTAAAAATCCATGTTTCGCGCTTAATGAGCTGCCGTTCCGTTAATCATATTGGAATAAAACTTTGTCATCTGGCGCTCCTGCACAAGCCATCGCTTCATTTAAGTGCAATTTCCAAAACACCTGAACTTCATTGTTACAGTAACAATACAGTTACAGTATCTCCATGTCACGTGAGTCGAAGCAGAAAACGACAGGAAGAGTGAGAGATGCAAGAATGAGAGAGGAGAGGGAAAAGAGAGAAAAAGGTGAGAAAGGAAAAAAGACAGAAGGGAAGAAAGAGAGAGAAGGGGAAAAGAAAGGGAGTGAATACATAGATAAAGGAAAAAGAGAAAGGGAAGAAGAAAGAGGAGGGAAAGAGAGAGTGAGAAAGGAGGAAAAAGAGAGAGGGAAAGAGCGATGGAAAGAGAAAGAGAAGAGGAAAGAGATAGAGGACGAAACAAAGGGGAAATAGAAAGGGAAAGAGAGGGAGGGAAATAGAGAGAGGGGGAAAGAGAGAAAGGGGAACAATTATTCCTTCTGCGGAAGCAAACTGCCGGGTAGACAGATTATGGTATGATTTTTGAGTGTCAGGCCAGAAACTTTTGAAACTACCAGTAATCCGCACATACTACGGAATATGTGTGTGAATATTGATAGTGTAAAGCTATCGAAATATTCATGTTCAATTGATAGGTAAAAAATAAGTAGTGTTGAACAATAAAATATGTATTTTACTGTAGATTCAGGTGTTACTTTCTATCATACATGCTTCAAGGAATGTCTACCTCATCTTTAGTGCTAACTAAAAACTGTTAAACATCTTTGTTTAACAAGCGGTCACAAATGCTTCCAGTGAAAATGACCGTTAATAGTGGTGACCGCTTCAACGAGGTTAGACGTTACTGGAAGCGAAAATCAAATCTAATTGTTCCAACTGCAATGAAACGAAGCATGTTGTATTTAACATGTTTAATTGCCATAAAGGAAAAAATACAATTTATTTAAAGAAGGTATTTAGGATATTTTACCTCCTCTCAACAAATTTCACACCCTTGACTTCTCACTCATTCTATCAGTTGAGAGACACAATTTCCGTCTCACAGAATTAAACAAGCAAACTAGAATTAATGATGTAATTCATACTCTGTAGAAACTTTCAAGTAGGACCGTCTGTCGGAGCTAGTGAACGACCTTTAGATTGGATTCGTACACGCGGTATGCTCTGTGAGTCATTAACAGAATCACACATACGGGAAGTAAACGTTAGTAAACTCATAGGAATGCTGTGAAATGCGCGAAGCAAATGCCTTGTTGTTTCCTTATGTGATATTTATTGAATCATGTATTTATCTGAAACAGAAAGTAGTCTCTTTCCTGGATCAATTATTTTGGATATCATTATTAGAAATAATCTCACAGTGCATCCCGTATACAAAAATATTCACAGTATATCAATAGTAATCCCCACAGATACTTCGGTGATTGTAATACTGTTCAAAATGTCGTGGGGTGACTACGTAATAAAAGGTCAATCTTCGAATGTGACTGGTCGCTTGCTGTCTAGTTAGGTGACCGCTCTAGAGGGAAAAATTCGCACGTGTCTTATAGAAAAGTCAATTAGTTCCGCGGTAAAATTTCGGATTTGAAGACGTGATCTCTTAATCGAAGTGACCGTTTCTTCCGGTTTCGTTATATTTATAGGAACCGTGAAATCCAGAAATATTTGTTTCTCATATAAAAACTTTGTGGTTGAAACAAATTAAAACCTACCTCTGTTTGCAATTCCAAATAAATATACTAAACCATTAATGCCCCTAAAAATACAAAACCTAACAACTTTTAGCATTCTTTACACAGAAAATAATAATTGACGTAATTTTTTATTTCTTACAAAGATTAGCCAGTTTGAACGCCACTCTTTTCTCTCTTAACTCGCGCGGACTGTTATTCGGTGGCTACTTCAGAACATCGGGTGACCGTGTCACTTCAAATTAAGTTCACAATTATTCAATATGAAATCAAGGTGTGTTACGAGATAATTTTTCTACACTCGTGTACTCAGAAATTGCGGTGTAAAACAAGTCGGTCTTCCAATGGTGTGTGCAAATACCCGCGCGAGGTTTCTTCTCAACTACTTCAGTATGTAGGTGTGTACGTAGTAATTCTCTCTCCGTATCCGCCAGCCTATACAATGAAGTCACGAAATACTGCCTTAGACTAATCAAGGTGTAGCAGTTGCTTTTTGCAATTAATATTCAGGGATCTGATCCCCAGGATGAATTTAGAATGATTTTTGAGACGTACGACAGTAAAACCAAAATAAAGTAGTTGATAAAACACATCGTTGTAATCCTATCTCTAATATCAAGTTACATTTTAACGATTTTCTTTTCACTTTGCACTTATTCCAATAATATTTAAATTAATAAAAATTCAATGTAATAGCTTTCCCATTTACTTCACTTACGATCTCTTTGTTGCGATAGTACGTCGGCTCTTGGTCCTTAGCCCTCAAGTAGCCGTTTCCTGCCGTCGTTATTCGTGATCCAACTCGCCAACTTCACCTCCTCGCGATCTCCGAATCAATAGGCGAGTTCTTCCGTCTTCTAGAGGACTTTATGATAAGAGTCCACGATACCGGCGCTCATTGGTCCTTTCAAACATTTCCTATCGTTCTTCCGCGTACTACTTTCACCTTTCATAACCAGGTGCTTCTCGCAGTTAAAACATTCCTAAAATTAAAACACTTATGGTTTTCATTTAGAAATAAAGAGTATCTCCGGATAAGATGTTAAAACGTTTCCCTAAATCAAATGCCATATGAGTTGTTACACTATAATTCTAACACAAAAATAATATTTTTGAAAGGTTTCTTAGCTCCCG